CCCCCGGGCACGGCCCGCCCCTCCCGAGCCAGGGCGCACCCTGGTCCTCTTGGGACGCGTCGTTGTAGTTGACTTGCTTGCGGATGCGCTTGCCCTTGCCCAGGTTCCGGGCCAGGTCCTCCTGCTGCTGCTCGTAGTGGTGCCGGAGCAGCTTCTCCCAGTAGTCGGGGTCCACGTTCTCCTCCTGCTTGATGATCTCCCGCTCCACCTCCTCCTGTGGACACGGCGCCATGGGCCCAGTGAGGCCAGGGCCAGCGGCTGGACGACCAGCGGACCCAGGAGGGAGCAGCTGTGGGTCTCTCTGCCCCCTGGGAGACCTCACGCTGCCCCCACCACGCCTTACCCTCTAAGACTCAAGGTGAACTGAAAGACCCACCAGGAAGCCTTCCCTGATCACCCAGGGCCGGCTGGCCTCCCTCCTCCTGCCCCATCACATTCACTTGTTCATTTGCTCAAGTATTTCCTGGCCTTGTGCCAGGCACTGGGGTACAGTGTGGCATAAGCCCCACCCTGCCCTTGGGGGCTCCCAGTTTCAAAAAGAACACTAGCAAGCAGAAAGACAATTAGCACCCAGGGCCTGCATGGAGGCTGGCGGGAGCTGAGGAGGAAACGGAGGGGTCCCCTGGGACAGACTCAGGAGCTGGCCTTTGGGGACGTGGGGGGCTTGCCCGGTGGAGAAGCGAGAAGGTGCGGAGGGTGGAGGGGAGGGTGGTCCAGGCGGGCCTGATGCAGGCCCGAGGGAGCACGCAGGGGCCGGGAGGGCCCGGGGCCGCGGACAGGGCCGCGCGCACGGCGGGGGCTCACCACGCCGTCCTCCTCGCGCACCACGTACTGCGCCACCTTGAAGGAGCTCAGGTACTCGTTCATGTTCTGCAGCTCCGTGTCGTCCGTGGCGTCCTGGTTCCGGTCCAGCAGCTTGGAGATGGCCGCGTCGTCGTAGTGGATCACACTGCTGTCCTCCACGTCCTTGTTGTCACCTGGGGACAGACGGGGAGCCAGGTGGGGCCGCAGAGCCCCGCTGACCACAGTTCCTCCCACTCCCGCCAGCAGAGAAGCAGGGTGACCAGACCACCCACCGGCAGTCTCTGAGTGCACATGTGGGGGGCAGGCCGGGGAACCCAACAAAGCAGAACACGGGCGAAGCACGGTGGGCGGACCCCCTTCCTCCCAAGGCACAGGACGAGCTGGGCGCTGGGCTGGCCTGGGTCGGCCCCTACCTGGCGGGGTGCTGCCATGCTTCTTCTTCATGCTGGCAGCCAGGGCTCCCCCTCTGGAGGACTGGACATCGGGGATGGGCGTGATGGGCCTCTGGCCCTGAGACACCATGCCTGCAGGGCAGAGGCAGAGGGGCTGCAGGGCTCGGGGCAGCACCCACACTGGCCAGGAGACGGGGTGGAGCGGAGGGTAGAGAAGCCGGGCTGGGGCCGGCCCGGGGATGGGCGCGTCTCAAGCGGCCCCGCTCCAAGCCCCAGACACCCACCCTCCACGTCATCCTTGAAGAGCTCCTCCGTGCCGAACTTGAGGATGTCGTCCAGTTCCTGCTTGGTCATGGAGCCCGACTTGGAGCCGAGGCCGGGCCGCACCACCAGGTGGGTGAGCATCATCTTGCGCTTGGCCACCTGTGTGATGCGCTCCTCCACCGAGGCACGCGTCACGAAGCGGTAGATCATCACCTTCTTGTTCTGCCCGATGCGGTGGGCTCGGCTGAAGGCCTGGGGGGACCTGCAGCTCAGCACCCAGGGCTTGACCGAGGGTGGGGCGCAGGGCCGGGCACCACGTCGGGGGGGTGGGGGGTGCGTGCAAGTGCGCTCATGAGCTGTTCGGTGTGGGACGGGCCACGTGACTCTGCGTGGAGATGCACACGCACCAGGGTGGCTGTGCTCACTTCCGGGCTGCGTGTAGTCTCGTGTGGGCCTGGGTCCCTGTGCAGGTGGATCTAAGCGAGCCTCCAGGCATGCAGGGGCAGTGCGGCCAGGCTGCTGCATGCAATGCAGCCACGTGGGGCCCTCACGGTGGTCATGGGGGCTGCGCCTCCCCGGGAGTGAGCCAAGAGTGGAGACACGCGGCCACCTGCAAGGGCAGCGAGGCCCGGAGGCTGCCCAGTGTGACGTGAGGACAACCTGAGACGGCATTGCATGGCTGCATGACATGGCTCTGAGTAACTATGTCTGTGTGGGCGACAGTGCACAGGTGCACACGCCTGTGCAGGCGACACGAGTGTATGTGCACCTAAGAGCTTAAGCATTCAGTGTGTGTGTGTGTCCCTGCCCCACGTGGGGTGGCCAGGAGACATCAGGGTATCTCTGCTCCCACGCCCCCAGCCCCCCAACCTTCCCGCCCTTCCTTACCCCTCCTCCTCCTCTTCCTCTTCCTCTCTCCAGCCTCCAACAGGCCTTGTCCCCTCCCAAAGTGGCCCCCTCTGGGTCACCGGACTGACTCCATCTGGCCTCCCTCCATGGCCTTGGTCCCGAGGGTGAGGGGACAGACGTCCAGTAGCCTCCCAAGGCCCCTTTTGGGGCTGAGACTCCACAGGGCTGGCCCAGGAGGGGAGCCCCTGAGACACCAATGAGAAGGCTCACAAAGCCAGGGCTGGCGAGACACCCACAAGGGGCTCGGCGTCGGGCCACAGACCTGGATGTCATTGTGCGGGTTCCAGTCCGAGTCGTAGATGATGACCGTGTCTGCCGTGGCCAGGTTGATGCCCAGGCCACCCGCCCGGGTCGAGAGAAGGAAGCAGAACTGCTGGGCCCCAGGGGCTGAGAAAGAGAGGGGGGCGCCGGGCACGGCGGGTGAGGGGTGAGTGAGGGCTGAGTCCAGAGAGGCGGGGCGGGCCCGGGGGACGGCAGACAGGAGCGGAGACCCCAGGGAAGCGGGGTGGGCACTGTGATAACGAGGGCCACACCTGCACTCAGAGGAGCCGGAGGAGGACTGGGGTCCAAGGTGGGGACAGCAGCCCCCCGAGCCCCACTGAGCCCAGCCATGCTCTGAGCCCTGACCCAACGGAAGGAGCTAGAATGAGAAGGAAGTCGACTTTCTAAGCCCAGACAAAGACCGAACCGCAAACGGTCAGCCGGTTTGGGCAGAGCCCCTGGCGAGGCCCTGGAGTCCCTTGTCCTCTGTGCCCTCCAGCTCCCTCAGCCCAAGGTGCTGTCAGGGTGGCCAAGACCACTCAGAGTCACAGCTCCGGGCCCGGGCCACCCTCACTCATCCTGACTGGGTCTCAGGGTCATCGTGCCCTTCGTTAAGTGACCTTGGACTGACCACAGCATCCACTAGAGCTGCAGTTTCCCGACGCCCCCTCCCCCAATGCTTGAGCTGCCCCCGCTTCCCCACGTGGCTGGGGCCACGTCTAAATGCACTGCATTCGCTCCACGTCCGGCATGAGTGGGCGACAGGAATCGCTGCTCGGGACGTTTGGGCAGTGGGCCCGGCCCTGTTCTGAGAGTGGAAGCCGGGAATGGACCCGAGCCCCAGGGCCAGCGAGCCCATGGCTACTTGCTGCAAACTCACTAGTGAAGAGGCGCCGCTGGGCTGATGACCCCCCACTCCGTGCATCTCCTTCACTGTGAGCTCCCTCCCTGGCCTCTCCGCCCTCACCTCTCCCCAGGGAGGAGCGAGCAGACTGGCGCGTGTGTGCGTGTGGCCTCGCCCCTTCCCCTCGGCCCTCTGGGGCGCAGCCTGCATGCCGCACGCGCTCGGCTCCGCCCCGCCCTGCTTGGAACTGGCGGTTTATCTGGCGTCGATGTTAGAAGCGCGCAGGTGCCAGCCAGTCTCCTCGGCACCAGCTTCATTTAGTAACGAAGGTGATACTTTCCTGCCCCTCTGCCTCTCTCCTGTCTGCTTCCCACCTCCAAGCAGGTGTTACCTACTGGGCCCCTTAGCGCCTGGGCAGGCCCCCGAAGGTGCCGTGGAGGGAATTCCTTTTAGTATAAAACTAAGGGGCAGCTGTTAGGATGTGAGGACGGTGTGCTTTCACGAGGCCCCAATCGAGAGCCCCTGGGTAGGGTGGGGTACCGTTGAATCTGTCGATCGCCTCCTGCCGGAGGCCTCCTGTGATGCCACCATCGATCCGCTCATACTTGTAACCCTCATACTCCAGGAAGTCCTCCAGGAGGTCCAGCATCTTGGTCATCTGCAAGGGACAGGATTTGCCTGAGGAGCTGCCAAAAGCAAGGACCCCCACAGGGCCATGGGGAGGGACCTCACGACAGTTGGGGGAGGACAGAGCAGCCTGCTGAGTGGGGAGACGGGGGGACCCCAGGCAGACCTGACAAAGGCTCTCTGGGAAGGAACAGAGTCTCCAACCTCGAACCCGAGCCACTCACCCCATCCCCCCACAGCCAACTGCCTAAAACACAACTCTGAGCCTGAGCCTCCCTGTCCTCACCTCACAGAATGAAGTCCCAGCTCCCCACCACCTGGCATTCCAGGCTGGCAGGACTTGGCGCCCAGTCCGCCTGGGCTTCGTTTCCCAATGCTTTCTATCTCCAACCATCCCAAATGACCTGGACTCTCCTTCTGGAATGCCAAGCCCCCTTACTGCCTAGAGAACTCAAACAGCACCTCCTCCGTGAAGTCTTCCCTGATTTCATTCCCCGCTATAAGAAGAGAAAGGCAATCCCTCCTGAGCTCCCATGACCTGTGTATTTCCCTTCGTTCTTGAGATAGTTTCGCTGGATATAAAACTGTCAGTTGCCATTTTCCCACAACATGCTAGAGATTCTGCAGGGGTCTCCTGCCACCTACTGTCGCTCGTGAGAAGGCTGAGGACAGTGACTATCACCCCTTTGCAGGTACCAGGTCTGAAGTTCTACAGCTTCACTGTGACACGTCTAGGGGTTCGTTTGCTTATATTCACATTTCTCTTGTGTGGCACTCCAGACTGCACCTCAGATCTGAGAGCTCACGTCTTTCCCAGGTCTACAAACGCTCACTGAATCCGGCCGCTTCGTCATTTTCTCTGTGTCTCCTGCAACTCCCAGGAGGAGGCTGTCGGAGCCCCTCGAGGTATCCGCCATGCTCCTCGTTCTCACCTTTGTCTCTCCCTGCTGCACCCTGGGGAAATTTCCCAGGGCCGCGTCCCCTCCCATCCGTGTTCTGACAGCGCCAAGACTTTATCCGATCTGTTGAAATGTCTTATTTCACCTCGACATTTTCCTAGACAATTATTGTTTCATTTCCTTCTGCTTGCGCTTAATCGGATTCTTCTTGATTTACAGGTGTCACTCTATTATTTTGAGGATCCTAAACACGATTACATAAAGTCTTGTCCAGGCTTTTCTGTCTTTTCCTTGTGGATCCTACTTCCTGCTTTGTTGGATGTCTTAACATTCAGCCTTCACGTGAGTTTTGGGATTGGGTTTGTAGGTTCCTTTTGGATGGGAGGTTCCACCTCTAACTTTCCTTCTGTGCACATTTCTTGGGCTTGTGCAGTTCCCCCTGCGTGGTCCCTCACGGCCTCAGCCCAGAATCACGTCTTATGTTGCAGAAGGTTGGAGGACTGTGGATCCCATCTCCAGGCCAGCCAACGGTCACAGCCTTGGCCAGCTTTCCCCAGACCCCTCGGCCCGCTGCAGGGGGCAGCGGCTATTTCCAGTTTACTTTGTGCACAGAGAAGCCACATCCCCCAGCCTCTGGCTTTGAGCAATGGCTTGGCCCCACTCTAAGGGAGCACTGTTGGCACCTGGACCCTACAGGACCACCACTGTGACCTACGTCACAGAGCTGACCACAGGGTCATATAACTGACCCCCACATAGACGACAAGTGTCTGGGGGACAGGGACCTGCACAGATCCTACTGTACGACAGACACTACGAAGGGACGAAGGAACCGTGAGTACACAGACACATAAACCCCCGAGCTGGACGGCCTGGCCTCTGACCACCTCAACTGCAACACTAAAAGTGCGACTTCAAGATCAGGCTGGAGAGAGAGCCCCTTGGAGCTGCCCCCACCTCGGGGCTCCTCCCGACCGAACCCCAGAGCCCATCGTTCATGAGAAGCCAGGCTGCAGGGGTGAGGGGCGGGGGCTATCAACCCAGCCGGGACACGAAGACAGGCCCTGCACGCTTCAGGAGCAGACCGGGAGGAGAGGTGGGTGGTCTTTATAACCCACGTGCCGAGTGCCTCGAGCTTGGCACCCAGCCAGCTTTCCTTAGCCGCATCATGCCAGGGCACAGAGGAATGGCCTGACACGCAACCCACATGGGTATGGCATCAGCCCCGAGGGGCCGCCAGCAGGCTGTACCCTCAGCTGGCAGGGGCAGAAGGCCCTCTGCGGGCTGTGGAGTTGGGGCGGGGACGGCCAGCCAGCCACCGAGGGGCGGCTCACCTGGGAGAAGATGAGCACACGGTGCCCTTCATCCCGCAGTTTCTTGAGCATCTTCTGTAGCAGCATGAGCTTCCCTGACGACTTGACTAGGGAGCTGCCATCGTAGGAGCCATTGGGCAAGACGGGGGCCTCCACCCCATCCGGCAGAAGATGGGGCGCTGGGGGCGCTGGGGGCACACTCCCCTCTCTGGCTCTGCACCAGAGAGGCCCCCGGGGACAGACAAGACAAGAGCCCAGCAGTGGGCTGAGCACCAAGCACACACCCGGGTCAGGCCAGGCTCAGCAAGGGCCCAGCACCACGGTCCCACGCTGGGCTCAGACCTGCCAGCCCTGCCCTCTGTCTCCCCGCTGCTGGCACTCCAAGACCAGAGACATCAGTGAGCGACAGATGACACGGACAGCATCCAGCCAAGCCGGCTTTCCCAGCAAGGGTTTAGCCTGGTCTCTGCGGTCACTGCAGGGTGCGTCCAGGCAGGGCTAACCCCTGAACCCCAACAGGGCAGAACGTCAATCAGAAGGCCTCTGCCACGCCAGGGTCGTGAGAGCAATCTGCGGCCACCACAGCATGGCCTCCCGCCCCTAACTCTGCACTGGCCTTTTTGTTGGGGGCCGGGAATAAACTGTGGGGGCTTAAATCAGAACCAGAAGAGCAGTCAGGGCAACGACAACAGCCAGTGTTTCCTGAGCCGACGTGCTGGGCTCTCCGTGAGGGCACTTGAAGTTAACCGTCTCGTCTGGTCCCCCTCTTCCCGGTAGATGCTGTCATTGCCCCATTTTATAGAAGAAAAACTGAGGCTCAGAGAGGACCACTGACCTTCTGAAGACCACAGAGCTAGAGCTGGATGTAGGGGGCCCACCCGGGCCTTCCCCAATCCCTTGGTGGCCAAGCGCAGCCAGGTCGGCCCTCAAAACCCTGGCCTGGGGGGAACCTTGGGGTGACCCAAGACCCCCCATTACTTTATGAGTTGCGACGAAGAGCCCAGGGAAGGAGAGAGCCTGCCTGAGCAGTGGGCAGAAGCAGGTTTTCAGAAACTGACACATCACCTCCAGGTCCCCGTACTCAGGAAGTACTGGGACTGAGGACCTGAGCACCTGCCACAGTGGCCAGGGACACCACAGCAGCCAGGGACACTTACTGTGATGGCCACGGGGAACCTCCCATGGCAGCCATAAGCCCCGCCCACAGCAGCCATAAGCCCCGCCCATGGCGGCCGTAAGCCCCTCTCATGGCAGCCATAAACCCCTCCCACGGCGGCCAGAGAACCTCCCGCGGCAGCCAGGGGACCTACCACAGCAGCCACCGGGAAGAGGTAGGGATGGTTGCAGCACTTCTTCAGGTCCATCATGATGTTCAGCAGCGACACCTGGTTCCCGCCGCCCTTGGAGTTCAGCGCCTCAAAGTTCCGCGTGAGGATGAACTTGTAGTACTTCCTGCAGCAGGGCACCGAGGGGAGCGGGCTGCACGCACACGGGCCGCACCAGCCTCCCGGGGGCACTCTCTTCAGGGCGGCTGGGGGCTGGGGGCCGCGCACCCACATACAGAGCGATAAGGGGAGCCCCAAGGCCTGGAGTCACCCAGCGAGTTGCCAGGGACACTGCAAGAACTCAGGCGGCCCCAGACCCTGGTCACTGAAATCGGAGGCCTCGAGAAGGACGTGGGTACAGGAGGTGAGTCGAGGCCTCGGCGAGGCTGAAGGGCCCTCTCCCACACCCCAGGAAGCGGCCCGGGAAGGCGAGGTGGGGGCCCTCTGGGGAAGGGCAGCTGAGGGGACCAGCCTGGCGGGGATGGGGGAGGCGGCTCCAGGGCAGGCCCCCCATGGCCGAGCCCCTGCTCACTTCTGCATCTGACTCAGCTCCACACGGACGATCAGCTCGGTCTTGGCCGGCATGTTCTTGAACACGTCTGCCTTGAGCCGCCTCAGCATGTGGGGCCCCAGCAGGTCATGCAGCTTCTTGATCTGGTCTTCTTTGGAGATATCGGCAAACTCCTCCAGGAAGCCCTCCAGGTTGCTACAAAAAAGAGTAGGGATGAGAGTCAGAAGCAGGGAACCGAAACAGGCCAAAGCCTCTCTGCAGAGGGAGTCAGGACTGGGGTGAGCAAGCAGGCCGGCCCAGCCCCACCACCTGACAGAAGGTCACAGGGCAGGCCGGCCAGCGGGTAGGCCAGGGGGCGCTGGCCCTGCCTTCGGTGGCCTTTCCATCCCCATCCACGTCTGTGTCACCCACCCATCACAGCCCCCTCAGCCACAGAGGACACCTTCCTGTCCGCAAGGCCATCCTGGACGTGAGCTCTGAGATGCCCACCCATGTTAGGCTGACGAGGCCCAGAATGCCCGCCAATCCACATCTCCTGGTTCCAAACTCAGCACTCTCCACCCCAAAACCCCCCATTCTGAACAGGAAAACGGGGGGGTAGGTGAAGACAAGGAGGCCGGGGAAGGATTCTCCACTGACCCCCACGTCTTTGCTCCCCGTCTCCACCCCGCATCCCCCACCTTCTCTCTCCCTTCACTGCTGCCACGGGGTCACTTTAGGTCTTTGTGGAGGGAAAGCAGTGAGCCGGGGTGAGGGGACAGGGACGGGAGCCCTGGAGGACCCCAGAAAACAATCGGAACGTTCCCCCAGCACTGAGCAGGTGGCGCGCCCCCACGCAGGCTGCTTGCGGTGGGCACCGCTAACGCTCCCACTTCACTGATGAGAAACCCCGGCCCAGCACGCATCCCCGGAGCTGGACACTGACATTGCTTCCTGGCTGCCCCCAGCCCCGGCCCCGCCGGCCACCCCGCCACTGCCTCCCCGGTCAGGCCCTGGCTCACTTGAAACGCTCTGGAGTCAGGAAGTTGAGGAGATGGAACAGCTCCTCCAGGTTGTTCTGAAGCGGGGTCCCCGTCAGCAGCAGCTTGTAATCGATCTTGTAGCTGTTCAAGACTCTAAAGAACTTAGGGAAGGACACGGGGCCATCAGGGGCTCGGCGGCCGGCCCACCCTGGGCGGCTCGGGGCCCAGGTCAGCGCCGCCTACCTTGGACTGATTGTTCTTGAGGCGATGGGCCTCGTCCACCACTAGGCAGGCCCACTCGATGGAGCCCAGGATGGCTTGGTCGATGGTGATGAGCTCGTAGGACGTGAGCAGGACATGGAATTTGATCTGCACTTCTTTCTGGAGGGAGAAAGGAGTGTCTAGGGGCAGAGCCGGGAGGCAAGTGGGGCGAGATGTCCAGAGATGGAGGTGAGGAGGAGGAGTGGACAGAAACCTCCAGACTCCAGGGACCCTCCGGGACTGAGAAGGAGACACCAGCCAACAAGCGGAGGGTTGAACTGAGGCCCAGAGCACCGACCGTCCCCGAGACAGGGGTGGCACTGGGAACGGAGCGCTGCCGTCACTACACAGACCAGCGAGAGCCGCCACGTGCAGAACGAGCCGCGTGGGCGGGCCCCGGCCTTGTCTACACTCACCCCACCCTCGCAAGCCACGCCCACTACGTCGCAAGCCACGCCCGCTACGTCGTCATCATCCCCATGTACACCTCACGGGGGGTCTCGGGCTGGATAACTTTCCCCAAGTCCCCAAGGCCAACAAATGAAAAGAGCCAGGATTTGAACAGAGAAGGGGACCCCACACTTGGGGCTTAATCGAGGACGTTATGCGCAGTGAAATAAGCCGGTCTCAAAGGACAAATACCGTCCGATTCCACTCATGTGAGGCACTCAGACTAGTCAAATCCACAGAGACCGGAAGTAGCATGAGGGCTGCCGGGGGCGGGGAAGGGGGAGGGGCAGAGTTTTGGTTTTTCAGGATAAAAGGGTTCTGGACACGGACAGGCGGCGGTCATGGCTGCACAACAGCGTAAATGTACTTAAGGCCCGAACTCTACACCTAGGAACGGTTAAGATGGTACATTCAACGTTCATCTGTACCACAATTTTTAAAAATAAAAGAGCTGTGAGTCTGCGGAACAGCCAGCCTACCGCAGGACCCCGGCGAGAGCACAGGGCAAGTTCCCTCTGTGACCAACTGGCCCACGGGCCCGTCCACCTGCGGTCGCCTCTGGGATCACTAAGTCACCCCCTCATCAGCAAATAGTCACTGAGCATCTCCTGGGGCCATGATGGCTCTGAGCCAATGGAGAAACCGAGGCAAGCGGCCTGGGGAAGCCGGGCGATCACCGCCACGGCCACGGCCACTGCCGCACCTACGAGGGCCTGCCTCAGCCAGGCGCCGTCCCAGGTGCGTCTCGAAGTGTGGTTCAGGGACCAGAAGTGTCTGGGACTTTGTCACAAATGCAGTCTCAGACCCCACCCCCGAGCTGGCACGCGAGGTGGGGGGCCCTCCTAGGGCTTGTGGTCACCCCTCCACAGCTTGGTGAGGCAGGTCTCCCATCTAGTCTGCTGAGAAGACTCCGAGGCACAGAGTGACTCGCCAGAGGTGACGTAGCTGATGTACAGGGTTGAATCGTGTCCCCCCAAAATTCATGTGTACGCAGAACCTCAGAATGGGGCCTTTCCTGGGGCTAGGGTCCTTGCAGGGGTAATCAGTGGAGGTCACACCGGACCAGGGTGAGCCCTAAATCCAACGACTGGCGTCCTTACAGCACAGACACAAAGGGGAAATGGCCATGTGACGGTCAAGGCAGAGTGAGGCATCTGCAAGCCCAGAAATGCCTGCAGCCCCCAGCAGCTGGAAGAGGCAGGAAGGGCCCTCCCCAGCCCTCAGAGGGCACGACCCTGCTGCCACCTCGATCGCAGACTTCCGGCCTCCAGAGCTGGGAGAGAGTGAGTTTCCGCCTTCCTCACCTCCGGGTCTGCGGTGCGTTGTTACAGCAGCCCCCAGGGCACTACAGATGGAGCTGGTAACTGCCTGAGAGAACCCCTTCGCCAGCTGCTGACCTGCGCAGTCACCAGAGCATAGGGACCGGGGTGCGGGGGCCCTGCCGGGGTCCTCCCTGGAGGCAAGAGGCTCTGAGAGAACCCCTTCGCCAGCTGCTGACCTGCGCATAGGGACCGGGGTGCGGGGGCTCTGCCGGGGTCCTCCCTGCGGGCAAGAGGCGCTCACCTTCATGCGGAACACCTTCTTCCCGCTGCGGACAGCATTGTCCTCAAAGGAGAACTCATTCTCCCGGATCACGGAGCGGCTCTCCTTGTCCCCCGTGTAGGTGACCACGTAGAAGTCAGGTGCCCACATCTCAAACTCGCGCTCCCAGTTAATGATGGTGGACAGGGGCGCGCTGACCAGGTAGGGCCCTTTGGAGTGGCCCTGGAGAGGGAGACGAGGACAGTGAGGCTGCCCGCCCAAGGCCAGCGCCGGCCGCCCTCCCCGCCACCCACCCGGCCCGCACCTCCTTGTACAGGGAGTAGAGGAAGACGATGGTCTGCACCGTCTTGCCCAGCCCCATCTCGTCGGCCAGGATGGTGTCGGTGCCCTGGGCCCAGGAGAAGCGCAGCCAGTTGAGGCCCTCCAGCTGGTACGGGTGCAGAGTGCCGCCCGTGGCGTCTATGTACCACGGCTGCTTGTCAAACTTGACGGTGGGCTGTGGGGGACGCGGATTTAAGACACACCCGAATCCTGGGCCACCAGAGCCCACCCTTCCATTTGCATGTACGGTTCCTTCTGCCTGGAACGCTCTTGCCACTCC